GTTCCCTGGGTGCGGGGAATTTTTCAGTGTGAGTGCGGCTTTTTTTGTCACCCGGTTGTCTGGGTCACTCGCTTATCATTTACGTTAGTTGTGTAGAGCCAACCCAAGGTTAAAGGGAGCCTCCAATGCCGAGATTGTAAGCATAGGTGCCTTGTGGCTTGTGGGGTCCCGCTGCTGTGAAACATGATTCGCTGCTGTAGCCCCTCTTTTTCGTCTGTTTCCTGTTCGCGAATTGGCCTTATCTCTTTGCGCTCTTCTTCTATTACAACACCATGGGTTGCAGGAGTTGGGGCGACGACGTCTGAGAACTAAACGGCCTTGCCCTCATCGACGGCGCGTGTTTCGCAACCATTGCCTAAGCATCCTATTCATCAAATTTCATACATCTGCTTGAAATTGGTGGGGTCATGGACGGCGATGTTGACCTAAGATGACCGCACTACACCTAGGTTAGGTAGTGTGCTAGGTAGGTTAGTATTCAGATGTGTGCGATACGTGACCGTCAGTGTGTTCCTTGCTGGGATCGTCTCCGCCTTCAGTAGCAGGCCCTTTCATGACGCCAATCCTCCGCTCATTTGGTCATCCTCCACGAGATGGAGAAGCGACAAACCACCAGGCTTGAGACATGGTGATGGGGGGCCGAGTAGATTCAGATCGATGAATACCACGAGTTTCTAAACTTGGATCGCGTCCAGAAGAGACTGAATACCAACCTGATTTACCAGGTCTTCTCCACTTCGTGTTCCTCTTCCAACGAAAGTATATAAAGAATCTGCTTGAACCGTCGACAATTTGTTTCCCTCAACATCACATAGCAAAGCAACAACAATAGCTCCAACGCCTTTTTTCAACCCAACACTCTACTGCTTCTGTACCAGCTGAACTTCAACTACCCCACCACCAACAATAACACCCACATACACACACACATATACACAGACACACTAGATAAGATGGCTATAAAGATCGCAGCCTGCCGGACCTGTGCTCCGTACCTCGACCACTACATGGAACGCCGCAGCGACGTCACCATCATGCGCCACATACCTGGCAGGAACGGCAGATCCATCTGGAAAATCGACATGGCCGGAGACGCTAGAACCTCCGACTACAAGTCTCTCTTTGCGATGGCCTGGAGGGCGGCCTCCAACGTCCAATTTTACTGCTACGGCACCAAGGTGGTCGACAACATGATCTGCTGCACAGATTATTAGATGGATTGGGAAGGCGACGACTTTAATGCGGAGGATAGGTAGAGGTAATTTACGTAGTTGAACTGAGGCAGGGGATTGCCACGGTCACCTTGAGTACATGCACACTACGCAGGTTACGGGTTAGTCGAGGAAATTGGATAGAACTCTGAGCAGCCTGGAGCTGGGCTCTTGCTGCTGGCAGCTTACCCAAACTCTCATATATTCCCAACTCTTCCGATCCAACGTGACTCATACCATGACGGTGCCAGTTGGTCTTCGCGGTGTTTCTCGTCTCTCGGTTTGGATTTTTCATAACTGATCCGGTGCACCGTCCTGCCGAGGAGAAGTGCCAATGCTATCCATGATGTCACAACAGTAAGAATCGCGACGGGCTAAGGATTGACCACCGATTCAATTCAATGCCGGCCGTTACGCCAAACAGGAATTTTTTGAAAAGGGCTTCTTGGGTTTTTTGGGTATTGTTTCAAGGTTAAGTACCGAAGGTGAACTGAGAATAACATGAACATAGACTCTTTAGAAAAGGAAATAGGCTACTACTACCAGGCTACAACTGGGCCCAGCCTTAGTAAATTATGTTACATCGAGTTGTCGAGTGACATTTGAGTGAATAAGAGGTGCCTTATAGAGCTGGGAGTAACACCCCTGCTCAACAACCAGCTGTCAAAAAACACGATGGTTGTGTAGTGTAGCGGTTATCACTCCGGATTCTGATTTCTTCAGAATGTTCCGGCAACCCCGGTTCGATTCCGGGCACGACCTGTTCTTTTGCCAGTTCCACCCACAATATTGGTGGGGATTCGGCAGACCAAAGGAGCTGTTTTGGGGTCAAGTGTCGGTCCTTCCCAAATTCCACACAACTTTAAAGGTAGCCAACCAACTTGCCTCGACGCAGGATTGACAAGCATTTGTCAAGTTGAGCAAACAAAGCCAAGGAGTACAAGCTCCTGGCACACACCGTCAACTGTTGCAACTTCGTGTCATAGCCACTGCAATCTTACTGGCTTCGGCTTTGATTTCAGCGTCTCCGGAGCGGCTCACAGTGGGGTGTCCCACCGACTACTCAGGGATCGCCAAGCGTGACGTCAACAAATGCCCTTCCACTAACGTCATGCCGTCCGCTTTAGGGGCCGGCCAAACAGCAACAATTGCAGAAATTGGGAATTAATCATTGTCCCTCTGAGCTCGATGAGACTGAAACGGAATAGGGTGATCGAAGGATTTCGTGAATTTTGACTTACTCACCTTCCATAAAGTGGGCGTGCCAAGGGAACAGCGACACAGGTTTGCATCTCAGAAACTGCGGGAAGGAAGGATGATGAAGATGCAATGGTGTTTCTCTCTCGTTTTCTAACAGTTTGCCTGCAGGCGGCACATTGGCTTCCGAGCCGTCATGGAGGCAGTGGGGTACTACCCAATAGAATCGGCTGCTTGCACTTAGTCGTCCCTACGGCCACGGTGTTTGGTGCGCCGTCTGGGCAGCGTTACTTGATTCTTTGAACTCCTACGTCACTCCTTCCCGCCCTTGTAAACGAATGTCGAAGATATGAGGTAGCTGAGCGCTTGTGCTTGGGAGAAACGGGGAGGGGGGGCATAAAGATGGATCCTGCACGCATATCTCTTCAGAACGCTCATCTCGGAACGATACCCTGATTGATAAGACCGGAAGCGAGCCATTAGAAACAATCACCCGACACCAAATCAGCACGACACAGAATCTACTTTACTATTGAGCACCATGGAGACAATCCACAAAGTAACAAGCGCTGCCTCCAAAGCAATCTGGGGTGAGGATCAAGCACGCGGCGAGGAACCCGTCTCAGGCAAGATGGGCAATGTCGCGGCTGGAGAGCCCTATGATGCTGGCAACATGGGTGGTAAGCACATGGATTTGTGCAGCTGGGACTCGCCCAAGTAAACACATACTAACTGCCACGGTCAGAGTGAATTTCCAAGACACGAAACTACGCCTAGGCGGCCTCAAAGAGCAAGGGAATTGATTCTAGGGACAGAGCCGAAGGATGCAGCCGGAACATCGACCCCGTCTCAAGCCGAACCCGCCGCGACCACAACCCGAACCACGGGCACGGCCGCCCCCCAACCCATGACCAAACCCGAACCTGAAGTGGCCACGAAGCCGCGCTTTGTCGAAGAGAAATCGCCCACCGGCTCGACGGGCCAGGCGAGCAATGATCCAGCCGGGCCAGCCAGGTTCGCCCCTTCTGCCGTTGGCATGCGCGACGACTCAACCAAGGCTCAAAACGACACGCGCTCGCCCGCCGGCGACAATATTGACACGTCTCGCTCCATGAATGATACGACTGGCTCCGCCGGCATCCCGGGCACCGCCACCGCAGCTCCGACCTCTGGAGACAAAACTGACAGGACAGAGGACAAGGAAGAGGCGGCCTCGCCCAAGACAATCACCCGCAGTGGCGACAATGGAGGCGACCTCGACCGGCCTGTCAAACTTGAGGGTCCTGGCCCGCGGCCCCTCGAGGAGGTGGCGCGCGAGCACGGCGGCGACGCGGGCGCCACGGAAGAGAGCCGACAACCGCAGCAACATCAGCAGCAGCACCAGTCAGCCGTGAGTACTGGTGTTGGAGCCGGGAAAACAGAAGGAGGAATAGGAGGAGGAGCAGACGACGCCGCCGGGCACCAGCGGCGGGATAGCGGCAAGGGAATTGGTGACGAGGGAGAGGCTGGGGGCAAGGGCGAGGAATACGTCAGGTCGAGCGGGCTCGCCGCCGACGGGGGCGAATTTGACGCGTCGCGACCCGGGGCGGGAAGAGAGGCTGATCGTGAGTTTCTTTTTTCGGTCTCTCTTTTTTTTTTCCTTTTTATTTTCTATTTTTTGTTCTGCCTAAACTCTTCCTTCCAACCTCTGTCGGATTCTTCGCACCTTCGAAAACGTGCTAACAGCATGTGCCCGGTACAGGTCTGCTTGAGCAGAAGGGACTGCACCAGGATACCCATAGCGGCTCACATCACCAAGGCGGTCATGGCGCCAACACTACTACTGGCCACGCCGAGAACGGAGGCAAGGAGAAACACGGCTTCAAGGAAAAGATCAAGGCCAAGATGCATCGGAATAGCACCTCGGCCTAGCTTTTTGCGATGGCGTGTAGTACGGGTGGAGGTGTGTGGTGAGAGGGGGATGATTAGGAATGGAAGAGACGAGAAGCGGGTCAATCAACAACAACACAGACTGACTGGGTGCTGAAGGGAGACGGATTAGGAAGGTCTTGGCATTGTTGTAAGTGGTCGGTTACTGGTGAGTGGAAGTCCATGGTGGTACTTTGTAGTACATGTACGAGATAGTGTGATGTTATTTTCCGGTTTCCAATCTTCTCCTACGTACCTATGTACCATTGAATGTGTCAAACATTGCCGGTTCCAATGGTCTTGAGGGTGCCGCGAGGTCAAGATATCTCCGGCAGCTTAGAACAACAATTTTGAACCCGACCTTCTTCCAGTCGCTTTGTCTGTGAGTTCCCTTGACTTCAGGATGAGCTTGCATGTAACCGCCGGTCGCCCTTTCTTTCAGTACAACACCTCGAATACGAACAAGATAGGAAGATGTCTGGCAACCCCTCCCGTAACACCACTGCTGAGAAGATAGCGTAAATTTGGAGCATTGATTGAGCGACGAAAGCGCACCACTCATAGGGTGGCCGACCAGATGTTGGCCGTCCGGTCCCTCTTCGCTGCAGCGGACGGAAGAATGGTCGGCATTTACGTAGGGGGAGAATTCCAACGCACCCTCCCTGCCAAAAATCGGGATACCACCATTTCTTGCATCGAGCCAACCTGACCCAGGTTTGCAGTAGATTAACTGGGAGGCAGATCGAAAAGTGCTGCTATATATAGGTCCACCTGGGGCTTCTTGTGTGGGTGGGTGGGATGCATTTTTCCGTTGAAAATGATCGGCTCTCACGATGAGGAGGGTGGTATTCTCGGGTGATACCGTCGGGAAAAGGGGTTCGGGAGAGGGAGGCGGAAGACAAGTTTGGCGAGATCGGGAACCAGAAACTGGCAAGGTGGAGTGACTGTTGAAACGGTGTAGCGCGAAAGTCGAGTTTGAGCAACGGAGAGTATAGGGATGTGAATGTTTTCTGTAACAGCACTTCTGTTGCAACGGGTCCCAACACTGAATCCCCCATGAGCAGTGCCGAAAATGAAGGAGGCATTCCTGAGCCTTAGATGTTCTTCACAGGCAGCAGTGCTCGCAAATTTCTCCCACAACGAACAGAACAAGGTGGCGGGAAGAGAAACATGTCAGGTTGGATGTGCATGCTACGGTGAAAGCGTATGAAATCTAGTGGCAACACAGTGAACACCAAGCAGCTAAATCAGGCTGTTAGTGCTCTTTTAATGGCGCTTTACGCGTATAGATGAATAAGAATACCATGTGGCCCATGTGTATACTATGCCACGATACTCTACTGCCTCCTTTCCATTCCGGCCAAAGTTTGCCAATCATCCCGCGTCATCATCAACCGTCCTCCGCCCAACGAAGATCTTGAGGTTCGTCAAATCTACCCCGACATACATCAAACAAAATCTCTTCCAAAACCGAAAATGAGGAGGGTCCATCGCTTGCACGAGAAACTGCAAATATATAATACCATGAACCGCCAGAAGAGAAGTGAAGTTTGTAATAAAGAAAAGAGATCATAAGTAAAAGCAAGAATTATTCCTCGTCCGTAGACATAAGTATTACGCTGGGGGCATGAGGAAAGGGCTCAGCATCAGCTCGTCGGCGCTCGGCCGCTTATTATGATCGATCTCGAACGTCTGCGCGAGGAATTGCTGGGCCTCCTCGCTCGCGTGTTCGGGGATCGTCGGCGTAGCCTTGGCGCCGCCAATCTTGAAGATGGCCTGCAGCTGCGTGCAGTCTGGGAACGGATGCTGGCCCGTCATCATCTCGACCACCAGACACCCCAGCGACCAGATGTCGGCCTTGCGTGTGTACGAAGTCTGCTTCACCACCTCGGGCGCCATCCAGAAAACGGACCCTTGCAGCGAGGGGCGGTGCTTGTTGTTGTTGGCGCCGTTGAGGATGTTGGTTGCTTCGAGTTTCTTGGAGATGCCGAAATCCGAAATCTTGATGGTGCCCTTATTGTCGACAAGGATGTTGGCGCCCTTGATGTCGCGGTGGATGATGTCACGATTGTGGAGGTAGGAGAGGCCGTTCAGGATCTGACGGACGAAGCTGCGAACAAGGGGCTCGGGCAGGGCGCCGTACGAGTTGAGCATCGTCTGAACGGAACCACCAGGGACGTACTCAAGGAAAATGTTGAGGTAATCGGCGGACGACCCACACCCGAGGTACTGCACGATGTTGGGATGGCGCAGGTCGCGGAGAAGGCTGATCTCCCGCTTCAGCGCTTCGATCATGCTCTTCTTGCGGGAGTCGCTCTGGCTGTTGGCGCCGGGAGACGGCGTCTCGACTTGCTTGACAGCGAGGAGCTCGCCTGTCACGGCGTGGAGGGCAAGGTACACGCTGCCGAACGATCCCTGGCCGATCAGGGCACCCTTCATCCACTTGCTGTCATCCCAAGACTCACCGGCAAGGAAGCTTTGGAGTTCCTCGTCAGCATCCTCGCCATCCTCGGTCAGCGCTTGGTTGACATCCTCGAGTGACCCGGAACCGCCAGACCCGGCCGTGCTGCCCTCAAAGTAGCTGTGTCGAACAACGTTGCCCTCGGGGTCGGTGATGCTCAGGGCAGCCGTATCTGAACCGCTATCGGCAAATGAGA